AACCAGAGAATATATTATAACTTGACAGCCAATCAAAACTAATGAATTTAATTAATTAACGAAATAGAAATTACATAAACCCGAAATATACTGCTAATGAAATAGAAACTACATAAACCCAAGAACATACTGTTACTCGACAGTATTATCAAACAAGCTTAAAAACATACTGTTTAGTAACGAAAAACTTGACATGCTCTACATGTGATCATGTGAGCGTGAAATTTTCGTGGCGATGCTGATGAAAATTCGTAGCATTAATTATGACGAACTTAAATTTATGGGCAGCGTCATGGTCACACATTTATATCTATTCAGATTCGCGGAAAATTTAAAGAAATCATTTTCAATGAATCTCGATTCACGGAAGATTTAAAAAAATCATTTTCAATGAATCTCGATTCACGGAAGATTTAAAGAAATCATATTCAATGAATCTCGATTCTATTTGTAATAATAACGAATTATCAGTTATATAAAGTTTTAAGATATTTCAAATGAAAATCCTTTTAAGGTACCGTAAATTACCGTGCAAGGTATCCGGGTATTATTCACGTAACAACAAACATTGATTTATATCCCGGGTATATTGTATGGCAGGGATATTGTGTGTGGGGAAGAAAGTGATTTATACCCGGGTCTTTTACAAAATACCACAACAAATAGCCTTGAAACACTCGGTAAAATCAAGGGGTCCTTTGCACAGTAATTTACAGTATCGATTGAGAAAAATTGTCTAGACAATACTGCCATAAAGCTTTATCGATCAAAAACAGAAATGTATTATTTAATATAGAAGCATCAAATAACCTTTAAGATGAATAGAAAATAATTATTACTTGCTGTCATAAGTACAAATATGAGATTCATGGTTCTTCATTGATTGTAGACATGAACGATCAACTTTTATTATTAAAATTTAATGATGGACTTCGCAATATTGTACTATTACATGGTTATTGATCTATGATCCATTAGCGTCTTCTCCATTAGGTTCTTTTTCAGGTTCCATTTTAGTTAATAAATATTCCACCACTTTCTCGTGATTATTTTGTTGTGCTTCATATATTGCTGTCCTTCCTGCTTTATTTTTGATCTATTTATTCATATAAGAATAAAAATCAATTGTTTTACTTGTTCCAAAAGGATTCAAAATTATATTTATCTACCTTTACATCAGCCCCGCTGGATATCAATAGTGTAACTATCTCGATATGACCATTTAATGCACTCCAATGTAATGACGTATTTCCCAATTCATTTTGTGCGTTAACAATATCACTCTCCAAAGTTTTTAATGTTTGTATTATATATTCTACAATTTCTATTAAGTATTTCATGTAAATAATTTATTAGGTAAGTATAAATAACGCTGTTAATGAGAAAGTAAAATACTTACTTGTATGTCCATTCGCACTTGCCATGTGTAATGCAGTGTTTCCAAAGGTGTCTCTTGACGCAAGATACGCGACAGGGCATGATTTCAATATGTTTTCCAACTCAGAAAGTTCGCCATACCTTGCACACGCTATAACTTCCTCGGTGATTTCCTCTGACAGGT